TTTACAGAGAAAGGGCAAACTATTACAACATATAAAGAATTATTACTGTATATAAAGCAAAATAAACATAACAATTAATGATAGTGTGCAAAAAGTAATAAAGAAAAGAGTTTGAAGGGAGAAAAAAAATTGGAGTTCAACTTAGTTTAAACTTATAATGATTGAAAATAATCTCTCAGTTTATATTTGTAACTAGAAAGAGTAAGTGAATTACGAAGTGAGAGAGGAATGTCATTCCAAATTTGAGGACCCTGTACCCGAAGAGAAAAAGAATATTTGTGAGTTTGAAGATGTAAGTTGTCTTTTTTGCCTGGTGAGATATTGATGACAATCAGAGTTAAGAAGTTACTTGAGCGTGGAGAATAAATTTAAATAAAGGTGAACGCTCTTAATGGGTATTAGTTAAACGAAATACCAGTGCCTTGGAACCAAAATATTAAAATACTTACCGTTTTGGTTTTCTTTCCTGAAATAATCGCTAAGTACCCCTTTTCTTAACAGATATAATTATATCACGGCCAAATGTCTAAATACCGGCCCTTTTCAATTTGTTGGGATTACGGCAATTCTCAAGAGTAACCGATGGTTGCTTAAAACGTCAAATAAGGAGGCATTATTGGAAACGAACATGATGACAAAGCCATTTTGTGTGTTCTTCGTGTGTTTTTTTCATAGTCACCAAAATTAAAATACTGACATACTTTTTACTTATCGATTTTTTGGTTTAAATATTGAAGTTACCTTAAAAATTTCTCTTTTAATGGAATTAGGGAAGTTGTCTTTTAGTTTTTGTTCCACTTGATTTGACATGTTAGCATCTAGAAACATCCTACTTCAATAAGTCAGAGAAAGACCTACTGATTGCAATGGATGGAATTAATAACTTTAGATGGAACCCGTATTTACATAGGTAATCTTGCGCTCATGTTCAGCTTAATTAAAGTGTGGGACTGTACCACTTTGCGATTTACCTTTTTTTTTAATATCAACCCTTGTTAATCCAATTTTTTGAGTAGGTCATCACTTCCAAATTTTAAGTTAAAGCTTAGTAATTTGTGTTTTTTAATCTGCTCTAACGGTTAAGTAGCTCTGTCATTGAAAAGATCTCTTGAGCTATCATACGAAAATCTTCCGTCTCCAACTCATATTCAGATTAATTGGTTTCAAAAGTTCAGTTTTTAAGGTAAAATATTCTTCTTCAAATATAGCCACCCTCCTTCTCCAGAAAAAATGAGTTTATTTGGAACCAAATAAAAATTTTTGCGTCTCCCCTTCCAATTTCTTCAATGCATGGATTTTGGGGGGGTGGGGTCGATTGCGGCTTCAAAGGCTTAGAGGCTCTCGAATGTGAACTTTGAATTATCTTACAATGGTTTACGATCGCATGAGAATCACAAGACCAAAAGTAAAATTACTTTTGGGTAATAATCACGAGCTCCTATAGTAAGGCCACTCAAAGTAAATCTACTTAGCCTCGATCTCATTATCTCGCAGAGACCCTTTATAAGAGGGTGTAACCTTTTGTTAATCCTCTCGGTCTGAAAGCTGACATCAAGCCGAATCTTCGATAGCTGACCCGCTTATCCTTTGAACAGGCAATCGACCCGCCTCCTCCCCAATCTTCCACCTTTTTTACTTGCTTTAGGTATTTCTTGTAGTTTAGTTGCCTTTTTCTTCTGGCCCTCACCTTTGCTAGACTTATAAATTCGTAAACATTATTTCATATTTTAATATTGATAAGATGATTTTACAGATTTGAATAAAACCGGCCATTAACTTGGCCATGTTTTTAATCCCAGACCATAGTCTCGGTTTTCTTTTTTTCCTAAGTTAGGCGTCTAGCAAACAAAGCTTGGCTGTTGGCAGTAAAGGGGGGTTTATTGTTAGTGTTTCAGTAACCGGGGAGGAGACATAAAAAGCCTTTTCTTTATACGATAATGTTCCTGTCGCCAACTAGAATCATGTTAAAATTCAACCTATGAGAAAACGTTAGGAACAACAGCGCTGACAGGGTATACTAAAGAATTGAATAAAGTTCATTTTCCAGGTAACCCTAGAACTGAGCAAGAGCAAATTTGCCCCACAGTTTGACCGTGCCAATCAATTTCTGCTGATGGAAATTTAGGGAATGTCTACACTTGGTGTCTGAGAACTAGTGCCTGGGTAGTGACAATAAATGGTGTTTTGTTCACACCTTGGGTATTCCTAAAATGTAAACTGTGCACATTATTTACTCCTTTTTGCCCTCTGTGAGACGCCATTTTGAAACGCGAGCTCGAGTAGATAGCAGTAGATTACCCCAGAACAAACAGAAACGGTGTGCCAATGTATAAGGTCTCGACCTTGTCCTCGGGCACCGACCACACGAATTAATTCGGACGTGGATACTTGATAAAAGCGTGTGTTCACATTAGTTTCCAACGAGTACCGCACTCGGGCGTTGTACCATGCATCAAGTGTGAACACTGCCTTAGTCTCCCCAAATGTTTCAAACCTCACCAGTCCGTCTATGTGTACGTCAACAGTTAGTATGCGCATGCGTTAGTATTCAAGAGCGAAATGTTAGTTGAGTTTGTTGTTGGTTCGCTTCTCTGCTCCAAGACTGATGGGGATTTTTCAAGGTACATTCAAACCTTGTTTTATGAACACCCACTTAATTGGGACACCCCGTTAATACGGACACTTTCTAAGGCCTCATCAGTGTCCTTATTTGCGGGGTTTGAGTGTCCTTTCATTTCACTTGGCATTGCTTATTTCAAAGAAAGAAAGACATTCAGTACGCTATCTCCTGGTGATTTGAGCGAATAAAGCTGTAAATATGAGCAATTTTCGTGTATTCCGTGGGATTGTTTTAACCCCTTAAGATGGCTGGCATTTCGCTACCGGTACACTAAAGAAACGGTTACGAAGGTGTAGGGACTATACGACTACGGTTCAGTAATTTTTTTTCAAATCAACCATTACAATTTTGTAGGCATTACCCATAAAATCTCAGCTTTTTGTGCCAGTCACCTCACCCAGAAACAATTGCGGGTTATATTTTGATGCTAGTTCCTTTCGCATTTCTAAAGTAGCGAGTGGAAGTGATAACATTGTTGTGACACGTCTCGTTGGTAAACGTACCATAATTATAACGTTGGAGGAAAGTAACACTTTGCAACACAACTAGCTTTGCCAGTTTATTTTTTTTCGATATATTAACTTACTAGCTAATTAACTAAAGTTATCTTCAACAAGTTCTTGAAAGGCGACGTTTCTTTTTTTGCCAAACTTACACATATATGCCAAGAAAAAAGGACGATAAAGCATACCTTATTATAGGAAATTAACGCTCTAAGAAATTAACGCGAATCGTTAAAATTCGCGTTAATTTAAGTCGCTTTAATTTTGTTGAGCGTTAATTTCCGCGCTCTTAATTTCCAGTATTTTAATCCCAATTTTGGAACCTGTCGAGGTATTCTTGACACCTAAAAATCATTAACTACAAGCTTTCTTTCTTTCCATTTACCCTTTATTTTTCATCTTTCACAAAAGCTAAGGCGAAGGTTTTCAATATTTCGAGTTCATCTTCATCGTTGTCGCTGTCAGAAGTGATGTCAGTATCTTCTCCTTTTATTTCGTGTAATTAATCGCGTTAATTTCCTTTATTATGAAATTCTACCTCCTCCTTCGCGTTAATTTTCTTTATTCGAAAGTCGTTCGCCATTAAATTCGCGTTAATTTCCAATACCTTAATTTCATGGATCCTTAATTTCCTATAATAAGGTATATAGATATGTACAAAAGGTGTAGGGACTATACGACTACGGTTTAGTTTTTTTTTTTTTTTTCAAATCAACCATCACAATTTTGTAGGCATTACAACACCCATAAAATCTCAGCTTTTTGTGCCAGTCACCTCACCCAGAAACAATTGCGGTTTATATTTTGGTTCTAGTTCCTTTCGCATTTCTAAAGTAGCGAGTGGAAGTGATATCATTGCTGTGACACGTCTCGTCAGTAAACGTACCATAATTATAACGTTGTAGGAAAGTAACACTATGCAACACAACTAGTTTTGCCAGTTTTATTTTTTTTTTATATTAACTTACTAGCTAATTAACTAAAGTTATCTTCAACAAGTTCTTGAAAGGCGACGTTTCTTTTTTTTTTGTCAAACTTAAACATATATGCCAAGAAAAAAGACGAAAAAACATATAAGTACAAAAGGTGTAAATATAATAAACGATTGCGGTAAAATAAATTTTTGACAACAAAGAGCCAATATAAATATCAAAAGCGAAAATCCCTATGTGGATCATTATACGTTTCTGGGAAACTGCCCACCTACCCCTCCCCTAAGCCAACGTTAACCCTATTTTATCTTTGTACAGTCTAAAACAGAGCTCTAAAATGGCAGGTAATATTTTTTTGGCCTCGGTGTTTGGAGACAGACGTTATCTACCCTTAAATCATGAACTCACCAGACGTCCCTATACATGAAATCAGTGAAAAATGTTAATAAATGCTACATGTACATGAGGCTGTGCTGAAGCAGAAACAGTTTCTGTTTTTGTCCATAGACTCGATTAACTCTAAAAATTAAAGGTTTAAGCGCAGGTCCAGTATGACAAGATGCATTTTAGGACAACAGTATTTGATATCAAGAAACGCTTTTTAAACAGTCGAAGCCCAGAGGAAAACAACAAAGCCAGACTGGTTATCTGGATGATTTCGTTTGGTAAAAAAGGACAATAACTGCCCAGGTTATTCTCTACTTTTTTGCGAAGAACTAACTCTTTTTTAATATTCTTGTTCGTACAGTTCCACATTTCTCTTCTCTTCCTTACCGTCAACAGTTGCTTAACTTTAATTTAAAGTGTAACCACGCAACAAAAACGCGCTATTTATTAAGTATTCCAATGTGAAAGTACGATAAACGATTGTTTGGTTAAGAGCTGTGTGGCCTCTGGAGCTTAATGCTCCTTTCGCACGGCAACCAGTTTCTCCAGAATGCCTTTTCATGGCTCTGTCTCATCGCTGTCGCACGGTAGGACATTCCAGCCGCGAATAGCGTCACCCTGGAGGTCCATGCCTCTGTCCTTGAAAAATGTATTCTTTATACAACCTCTAAAACCAGTATTAAACTTTCCATGTGTCATTTTTGCGATATTTTCACCCCCTCCTATGGGAAATAAGAGGAAAAAACATTAAGATAATATAGACTATAGTTCGAATTATCTCCTGTTCAAATGAAAAAAAAAAATCTTCTACATTATTAAACATCCTGAACACTGATAAAGGAGGTAGACTTTTAGATAATACTAACGGACCATCCACACCCAGTCTACTTGCTAGCTTAATAGGTAAGAGCACTGCAACCGGTATCCCAGAGGTCAGGGGTCGAATACGGGGATTCAGGCTTTCTTTTTGCAACTGAGTTGTGTATTGATGATCTTGTCTGCATTTGTTTCTTCTTCCCGCAGTTCAATTATATGAAATTCAGATATTTCGGACTGCCCATTCTGATCGTAGGGATGACTGATAAGATAAGGATATACAATGCACTTACCCATAAATATGTTATAACCTTGGTTAATATTCAGCCCTTTGCTTCCCTCAACCGAGGTGCCATTTACGTGATCATGATTATCAACTTTAAGGGAACCCTCACTGAAACTCCTACAAAATTAAAACGACGAACGTCACTAGTCTAATAATTAAAATATCGGAGGGATGACATCACGCAGTCAGTGCTGCTTCATATTATATAGAAGCCGAAATCAATAATTGATTAAAATTTTTTTCATAGTTGACAGTCAGGGGGTTTATTCTCGGGCCCTTCCTTGTTCCTCAAATGTAACGCATCTAACAGATCTAGGAACTATTATTTCAAGATTGTAGTTGAAAAAGTTTGTTACCTGTAAACCTTGATGGAGTGCCATTGGCTGTCGTTGACTGGAGACAGAGATTGTAGTACAGCAGGCCCAGAGCCGAGTTCAAATCTACGAAAGACGTAACTGATTTGCTAACATGATTTTAAAGTATTCTCAGGGTAGGGACCGATAAATTTAGTTCCTGGTTATTTGCAGTAGCGGATCCGGGGAGGGGCCCGGGGGCCCGTTCCCTTATTTTTTTTTTTTATGTAGATCAGTGATCAAGGATTAATGTGTAACAAATTTAACCGAGGATGTGCTTCACTCAATTTCATAGTTAACTACTTTTAAGCAGTGTTTTTGCCCAAATTCTCCGCAAAATCATCAATATGAGAAAAAAGACGCAAAGACGCAAAGCAATACAATTTTTTTTTTTAGCCTCGGTTGACGTGCGTCACTCAAAAATGCTTTTGCTTAAACTCCCTATTATTTTATCGCCCCCGGATATTAAGTGGGTTATGTGATCCATCAGTACATTTATGTGGCGAAATATACTCTTTTAATACGTGTATATTGTCTATGTTTTTTAGTGCGCATGCATTACATATTTCCGAGGCCATTTTAGCGACATTCAGATGTGTCAGAGTCTCGTATGCGACGAGCTCCCATTAGCCACCCCTAACTTTTGGCATTTTTGGTGGTCACGTACATGTATGGGTGTTTTTACTCTGAAAGCAAAGAATACCAAAGTTTAGAAAGAGACCAGTTGTTGGGCCGTCAAGAGTCCTAAAATAATTACCTGAACTCCAGAAATCCGTCTCTTAATCCGATTGCAAAGTGGTCTCTTCTCTGGAAGGAACAAGAAGAAAAATTTTTCATAGGGACACCGAATTGATCCAGGTGAGAACATGAGGTATCTATTTGTTGCTTGATGCCTTACAGATCAAGGGAACTGTTCGTAATGCAAGGGACCTGTGTGTGTGAAATATACACGAACGTGTTGGCAAAGAGATACGGAAGTGTTTTGGAAAAAGGTTTTGTTCTTACAATCTTTTAATAACTAAGAAAAAGCTCAGAACTGAATGTGGCAAAGTAGATGGATGTCTTTTCTGGTCATCGGATTATCAGGCATGAGTTATAAACAATCTCTGTTGGCCGAACTCATTACAACACTCTAATTTACCTCTCCTTGCCATAGGATTACACCATTTTGAGCTTCTGTTTTTATCTCAAGTGACATATAGTCAGGTGTTGTCGATCTGTAAAAAAAAATGGACGCATGCATGCTCAAAGCCGTAAACATTGCACTGTGGATTATAAGGTATTTCGGCTATAAAATACCAGGATGGAAATAACTTGGGCGCTCATTTTCTATTATGACAGTCGTAAAACTCTCCTGATGCTGAGAAATGTTATCTCAGAAGGTTCACTGAACACCAAAGAAAAAACCTCACCTCGGTCCTCGCATGCTCGATGATGGGAATTCCAAGAAACCGTCACCACTGAACAAGGCATTTTTTCCAAACTGGACAGCTACAACGAAACAGCCAATCAGCAAGAGTCACTGGAATCGACTCAACTATACATTGCCTCATGCAAGCTATTTTAAAGAACTTTGCGCCGAAAAGGTTAAAATAAACCCAACAGCAGAAGTTTGTAAACTAAGGTTTCTTTAGTACTTAAAATCTATTACCAGTGTGCATGTTTTTTTTTTTGTAGGGGTTGTCGTCAAAGAATTCTACTGCAACTATGAAAACTTACACTTATGTAGTTTAGAGAGCGTGACACCCGATAGATTTCACTGTTCTAAACGTGTGGCCTCTTAAACGTCCCCAATAAATTAGAGACAACTTTTCAGCTCGAAGTAGACTTGTGAAGAAAACCAACAACAAAGTCAATCCACTTTGTGGAAGGCGTTTACTCTTACCATTTGCACCACCGGTAGTTCCCCTTCCGATTTTAAAAGGCCACCAAGACTTCCTAAGTGTGGCCTCCGGGGTATAGTAAGAAACACTTTACCCATGCTGACGGCTCCAGCATGGGGAGGTCAGCTGTATCCGCACACAAAGACTATGTGCCTTAAGATCCCTTACATTGAAAAGTATATACTGCGACAACATCAGTAATTGACAGATTTAAGAATATATCCGACGCATTAGGAAGCTATTTCATAAGGCAAAACTTCTGAAAGTCCTTACTTTTATTACACCTTCTGCCTCCATATCCGAGCGGGCAGTTGCATAACCTGTAACACAGTAAATCAACTTTTAGGCTCAGAATTTCTGAAGCTCTCTAGGTTTGCGAACTGCTTTTATCACGTCTTAAAATTAAGTATTGTTTGTATTCTAAGTATGCAAAGACTTTCTATTATAGTAAATATAGTCAACTCCCTTTATTTCGGACACCCTCCAACGAATTACTGTCCTTAATCGCGAGAGATCGTCATTTGAGGTCCGAGAAGAAATTTCTTTACAAATATATCACTATTTATATTTAGATTGACTATAGTACCAACCCTAACGCAGAAAATATTGGACAGACTAGCCGAACTTATCAATAGCAGAGACACCGGAGGGAATTAATAGCTACACCTCATTAAAACAAGCTGCGGGTTGACTGTAGTGGAGTGCATTTTTCTTATGTTTGGGAAAATAAAAAATTAATAAATAAAAGTAACCTGTAAGATGACGATAATTCAACTCCGCCATTTACACATGTGTTACTCTTCAAAGGATCGGCCAGTGTAAACTCACACTTTTGTCCAGTATATCCAGGAGCACAGGAACAGAAAAAGCCCGTTTTTCCAACCGGGATGCAAGTGGCATTATTCAAACATGGTCTTAATTCACAAGGCAAAAGGCATTCTGTGCATTGTTTGATACCGCGCATGTCAAGATTGGACTTGAGCAGGTTTATTTCCCTACCATCTACTGATAGTTCGGATATACAACCAAAGAGACCGGAGCTAACGCCAACTTTACTAGTGTGGAATGTCGTGAAGTTTTTCACTCCGCCTATGAACAAGTCTAACAAAAGATTTAATCCACGTGAACAACACGGGGAGGAACCTTTCACTTGGGGATCGTCATCCAGAACCAGCAAGCTGTCTCTCAGTTGTCTTTCTATTATTACAGTGTGCCAGAATCCTACGGAAATGTTTCTGGCGCTGCGTAAAATACCAGTACCACTTCCCATATTGAACCTGAACTCAACTCGCCCTCCGTTAATGGCAAGGGAAATGAAGTCACCGCGACCAGGGAATATCGTCTGACCATTGTACAGTAGAAGCATATTGCCTGATTTAAGTGCGAGGAATCTGATGGAGAACCTTAGCTGCAGAACTGCGCCTTCGATTCCTGGTAATGACATGTATGAGTCGCCCTCGAACATAGGAGTGTCTATTGGCCTTCCTACAGGATGAATACCGTAATAAGTTTCCTTTTTAGTACACCAAATGACATAAAAAACCAAAAACACCACCAGAAGTCTAAGAGACGTTTCTTTAACGAAGTACCCTTCACTTGATTTCTACCATACACCTCACCCTGGGGCTGCTCAAGTGACAGAGGCGTTTTATAGCGACATTCTTCGGTCTGGTATTTCAAGTAGCAGCGACTATAACCAGACCTTCAAGTAATTGGGGGCGCTGCTTATTCAAACCCTTCAAAGAGGGAGGGGACACCATCGAAAATGACCTTAAAATGAGGCCCTGGCAAGCTATCATCCCCGAGTTCCCTCCTCCCTCGATCCGGCACTTTTAACATATAAATCACTGGGCAAAAAAATGAATTTGCACCAACATGATCCTTGCAAATATATAGCAAATTTGTAAAAACTGGAGGAGTAAATATGGGGCCAGGATGGTAAATGTCATTTGCATGCCAAAAAACAGGGGGGGGGTGGGGTGGGGGGGTGAAAATCCATTTTATTTTGTCCAGTGAATCAAACAATATATTACGGTCTTTCGCCCATACCAACTGATGTAAACCAGTTAAAAAGTATTTAATGCATCCTATTCAAACAGGAAAAAAATTGGAATTATACCAAAGCTCATGTTTTGACATCAGATCGTAAAGGACTCAGGGGCCTTTGGTCAACAACAAACCTTCCTCACACCTCTCCCCAGGTAACCAGCAGGACAGATGCATCTAAAACCATCATTGCCGATATTTTCACAACGCCCCTCATTACAAACGCCAGGTGAACACTTGTTACCAGCGTCATCGCAGGTCCTTCCCAAGTAACCAGGCCTGCAAGTACAAATAAATCCCCCGTCTCCAGCGACCTCTGTGCACGTGCCGCCGTTCTTGCAAGGCCTTGTTTGACAGACTTCACAATCATCCAAACCCACGCTTTTAATAGGATCACCTGAAATTTGTTTAAAGAGGTATTCAAAGGGTTATGTCACGCTATTTTCTATTTTTTAAAAAGCTATAAAGTGTCTTCGGATCAATTGAATTCCAAACATAGTTTTCCATTTTTTTTTTCACAAATCATGTAACAAATCATCATGGTTAGTGTTCCCTGATGGAATTTCTTTGAACTCTTCTTCATTATTTTACAGAAGCATTTTGTGTATGGGTAAAGACCTTCAGTAATGACATCAGCACAGAGTTGACATAAAACAATAATATCCTTGTGACAAAATCCATTTAAGTATTGTGTTTTGGCAAGAGAAGGAAGAAGATAAAATCTAATCATAAAATTAGGTAATTAAGCTACACCGAAAGGCTACAAAAATAGCTTCCTCGTGAAACAGGCCCTATTCTCATTCAAGTTCGTCAATACTGCCCTTGACAAACGCATACACTTCCAATAAGAGCTGGCTCCTTTAGAAGTCGAAGAAACAGAAAGAAACATGCTCATGTTCTATAGACATGACTCAATCTAGTAATGTCAATTAGACGATGGTGAATCATTTCCACTTTTGGAACGCGTTTAAAAAAATTAGCGTATAGACAGTTCAAAGAGTTCAAATAAAAGGGTTAGTTTCCAGAACTTTAGTGTTGCGTCGGTAAGAGAAAGAAATGGTGGTTTTGGTCCAATCAGTTGCTAAAGACAATAAACCTCCAGAACAGAAACCAAAAGCAGACTTTCAAGATGTGTTCATCAACTCAGCTGGTAAAACCGAATTGAAGAATTTGTATGAATTGTTTTCCCCTTGTCAAGAAAGCACCCTTACTCTCCCCTCGGACACTCTGTTCGTTTCTTCGACTCCTGAACAAAATTAAAATCAGGGGCACCCAATGGATCTGTTCCCCAAAATATCTGTTCCTCAGGCCAAGTTTTGCTGGCTCGGAAATTTGGAAAAATTAATATGTCCTTGGAAGGAAAGTGTTGCTGGGCAATACACAATTCAGGATGTCAGAGGGGATTTGGTGTATACAATAGCTTGTATATTCTATTTGTTTATCTCTCCTTCCTCATTGAAGGGGTGAATGTCTCCCATAGGCCACTCCCAATTGCCTATGGACGTCAGGTTGCAGGTTTTAGGTGCACTTTGCTGGCTGGGAACTCTCCCATCAGTCTTACTGGGAGTGAGGAACAGATAATTTTTTCCAAGCGATCTCCCAAAATGCTTAAAATGCCTTCAGAAAGCTTTATTTATACTTTGTTGTTGTTTTTAACGTCTTTTTTCAAATTCCCCGTTGGGTGCCTCTGTCAAATCTCCTCGAAAACTAGTTTCCAGAAATTTGAACTTTGAAAACCTTTATCCAACTACCATTCGTTTTGTCCCTACGAAAATTTCTCAAAATAATCAAAGGAGACAATACATGTACCTGTTTTTCTGTTTTTCAGGTCCCTATTTTAGATACCAACCATTTTTGTACTGGAATGTAAAAGAAACAATTATATTCTTACCAAAATTTACAACTTTTCCGTCGATAGCCAAGTAGCTTAAACAGCCAATAAATCCTGACTTGAATCCCGCCAAAGAGCTTATTGACGAGAAATCAAGGACTCCTCCCACGTGCAAATCCTGATTCAAATTCAGACCTGTACTACTCCCCTTAGAAATTCCTGTTACAGGTGGCTCCCCATCTACGGTGAGATTTCCTTCCTTCCTGTTACGTGATAAGACGACTCTGTGCCACTCATACAGGCTCAATGGTTGCCGGCTTCGAATGATTGCAGGCTCAAAGCCAAGGTTGAATCTAAATACGGATAAGTTCTCTTCAATTTTGACCTTGGTTTATATTTAATTTAGTTTGTTTCAGACTCTTTTCTTACGTTACCATACCCCCAAAAAAAAAAAAAATATCAACCAAGAATGAAACTGGATTATAACATGTGCATCACAGTTAGGTTAAAATCAAGACGACATGCACAGCCACTACGACGTGGATATAGCCCATTTCGAAAAAAAAATAAATGTGCATCGTAATAGGAGATATTCGAGTATACTTTGTTAGACTAGGACAACGGAGCCCAGAGTATATGTGGGAAGCTTGCGCTGAAGCGGAGTCTTTTTTCTTCAATCTGTGCTCACGGAAAATGGCTACACGTTTATATTACACTTGTAATAATTGACCATAGGATTATAAGTCCAACCAACACACAATCTACAAGTAAACTACCTCATCTTATAATGGTGTGTTCGTGCTAAGTATGTTGTTACATATGACGTGATGCAGTTCTTGGAATAAGTCAATGGAACAGTCAGAGTGCATGAAGTTTAAGTTCCAAACCGGAACTTAAAGTGTTGTATTAAATGGAAGCTCCGTTTTAAGGCTTGGCTTAATGTATGCAATATGACTGCAGCCAAGATGGAATATGATAGACTTGGTTAGTAATACCATAGTTTGGTTACCTTGCTGTTTCAGGGTTTTACAGTAACAAAATAAGTTCAGGTCCTATTTTTGCATTAGTTTTCAAATGACCTCGAAAAAAGATTTGTGAGTAACCAAAGGCTTTATGGAAAAAATAGCTCGCGATGGCAGACTCCTGCTAGAGCTAAGCCTCACAGGACTACTGGCGGGGATCAAGAAGAATGCTCTTCGTCCCTGTTTGTGAATACAACCCCATTACCTAAATTCAGCAAATCTGTCTGACATTCCAAATGAAATGAAGTCTCCAACAGAGCCATTTGTTAGCTGATCGTTGTACAGAATCAGCCCATCCGCCATCTCCGGTATGAACACAATTTCAACCGTGAAATTAAGTGGCTCGTCTGTTAATGTCTGTACACTGAGGTAGGACAGAGGTTCCTGTGTAAATCGTGGAACGGTCACTAAGAAGAGATATAGAAAAGGTACAGATACAAATGGTTGGTGACCATTTTTAAGTTATGGTTAGAGTAAATATCATAACAAAGGTTCCTTCTTGTCATTGACGCGAAGTGTGCTTAGCAGAAACTCCCCAAACTAACCCTCATCATGACCGCAAGAACATTCGTAGCTTTTCGCGCTGGAATTGCATCAGGAAAAATGTATGGAAGGAAAGGCACTGTAAAATTTTTGCTCCAAAATTCGTCAAAATCAAGACATGAAACAAGGAGGGAGGTTAAAGTAAAATTACTTCCAAAGAGCCGACCCTTTGATACCTTACCTTTAATTTCTAAAATTCCACTTCTATTAGCCGATCCTTCAACATTTTTGGCTTCACAATTGTAACTCCCAGCATCCTTTTGAGTCACATTGGCAATCTTCAGAACTCCTCTTTGCACTGTACTGCTGACTGGAAGCGATCCGTTAACTTTCCGCCATGTTAGGTCTGGTGACGGGGAGCCGCTAGCGATGCAAGTGAATTGCACGGTCTCACCAGTTTTCACACGTGAACTCTGTGGAGTAACCATGACCTTCGGGGCCTCTAAGAGTCAATAGAGTACAGTCATTCGAGTTAATAACACGAGGTCTGACACGAGGACACGCAATCGCCAGCTTTCGCTATTTTATCTTGTCTTATTATCGTGGCTTATCAACTCGGTTGACAAACCAGTGAACCATTCCTATTCCCCACAAATGTGAATGTCTTTGTAATTGACGGTCAAATATTTCAAGCGTTTTTTAGCTTTACTTGCATTAGCTTTAATTTCTTTTGCAGACCAGTAAACGTGAAAGGTAACAGCAGAAAAGAACAAACAGAAAACACCAACCTTGCACAAAGATGGCCACTTCAGATCGCGCCGAGCCCACTCTGTTAGTGACTTTGCACCTATATACACCACCATAGGCAAGCCGCGCGCGCGGAAAAAATCAGCTGTCCTCCTTTTGAAATGAGTCCCTCGGGCAACAGACCGTCGACGCGGGTCCATTGTATTTCTGGTTGTGGGGTTCCATTCGCGATGCATTCTAAAGTCAAATTCTTTCCTACTGAAACTGTTTTGACGGAGGTTCCACCTGTTATAACCACACTGGGTAGATCTGAAAAGGATATGATTACATGGCTACTCATACGAATGATTTAATGATAGTAATAATGATAATGATTATGATACTGATACAATGACAAAAAACGATAAAGATAACAATAGTAATAATTACAGCAGCAACAACAACAATAATAATAATAATAATAATGATAACAATAACAATTGGATAAACTCAAGGGTATAGCATAATATAATTACAGTAAAATGAATTGGCTCGACATTTGAAAAAAAAGATTTGTGGACATTAATTTTTGGTTATGATATAATTAAACACTGTACTTTTAGAATATGGGGTCGTGAACCGGACCAATGAACTTAGGCATGATAAAGGGAAATAAGCATAAAAAGGGGATGGAGATGAACAGAAAGTGACTTCTTTTTCTTCAAAGCGAAGCTCTAACAAACCTTCGACAGTGAGTTCTATAGATGTTGTAGAAGTTCCAGCAGCATTTTTTGCTGTGCAGATGTATCGACCATTATCGTCACCGATAACTCCTGTAAGACTCAAGACACCAGCTGAGTGTCGTACGGGAATGTCGCTTCCCTCTTTTGACCAGGAGATCACCGGGTCGGGTATGCCAGTCGCGTTGCAGTGAAATGTAACATTGGATTTATGCGCTGCTTCAAAAGATCTAGGCCAGGCCACCACTTTTGGTGCAGCTGAGATATCAGAACGAAAGTCAGTCAAAAAGCCAGGACAAATTGAACATGGGATGAAACTGAAAATTGACTAGCGTGTTGGTTAGCACTGATTTCCCAAATATAAGTTGATAAATAATGAAGATAATCGATATGCAAAGAGCAACAAGACTCGAACGTATATTTCAAAGACACTTTCACTGCCATCACAAAAAAACATCATTTGTAGTACAATATAGAATTTATAGTACAACATAGAGTGTTTCTTTCTAAATAAAAGGGAAAAAATGATAAATGGGAGTCATTGAGAGAGAAGAAGAAGGGATGAAAGGCCTTTTTTTTTTGTGTTTTTACAATTAAAACTTTTATTACCTTAACTCTTGAGGTATGCACTTTTTATATATACTGCGATATTTTTTTAAATTAACGGCCCCTAAAGGTTCCTACCATACACGACGACGCTTGCAAAGCCTTCACTGGAGCCCGCTGAATTGTTAGCATAACAGCGGTATGTTCCTGCATGTTTCAGTTTCGCCTCACTGACTTTTAAGGTCCCCTTGTCGCTCACGATGCCGTTTGGGAAACTAACATTGAGTTTTGACCACGTGATTGCAAGTGATGGCCTAACAATGCAAAAGATGTTAAAGGAGGTTCCTTGATTGACGGAGATCTCGGAGGGAGTCACGTCGATTAGAGGAGGCACTAGTTGAAAAAAGAAAGAAACAGGTAGGGTTCGGATTGTTTATCACTTAAATGTAGACATAGGTCAGTTCACTATTTGCGAGTTTTATGGTAAAAAAAATTCATAATTCTGCCTTGGTGAGAAGACACAATAAAAGGGGTTCGAGGCTTGGTATGACAACTTAATACAACTCACTACATTTTGTCTCCTTGATCCTTCAGATGTTGCGTTTAAGTTTATGCTCATAGGAGGAATCAAGTTTGGGGAAGAAAGAAAACACAAATTTCAGTCTGGAATATTAAACCACATGGCTACATTTTTAAATTTGTCGTTTCTCCTAAAAGTTCATAAAGGTGGTGTTCCATTTTTCCATTGTTTTCGAAACGTTTGGTAAATGTTAAAGAACCACGAGTTCAAAAAACAGCATTACTTGAAATCGTTGATAGTAATAATCACGTTGAAAGGATATGATGGGAGAGGTGTATAACAGGGTAGTAGCAGTCTAAGCTCTTTTATCTTTTGACGGACATACGATATGCCTCAAGCGGACAGCTTCACTTACGGCCACCTTAACAAATCTTCCCATTAGGAACTTCACTACAAAAGCATGATTTGTTACCGGCCAGCTCCCAATGAATTACTTTTTTGCTTGCCGATGGTGTCTGCCTAAGGGAAATTTGACTGTAGTACAGAAACGGGTAAGACATGTGCCATTTCTTATTTAAAAAGGGCTTTTTTGAAATATCGTATAGTTTGAACTGTTACCAAGTGAAAGCGTGGGAAAGTCCCTTAGTTATTAATCAAAGCGCTTCTTCACATTAAAGCATATGAAGAAGGAACAATTTTTATGGAAGGCTCAGAAACAGGATGCCTTATTGGTCAAAGTGGTACATAAAGAAATGGCCTTTACACCTCCAGTTGACGGCATCGTTGAACTTCGCCAGGATAAAATGTGTAACTCGATTATATGCCTCTACGAAATGATACACGATCAATGATACACGATCAATGGTAATTGACGTTAAAATTTGTTTTACGTTGAAATTTGTGGGAGAGGTATCTTACTGTTGAGCTACAAGAAATAAAACCTTTGAAACCTTTGAATGTCTCTAACTTGGATTCTAAATGTGATTTTTCTCAGTAATAAATTTTGATTAGCCTGGATTCGAGAAACTTTATCCTCTCTTTTCTTGGGTTCAATTTTTTTCCTTAATCGTACCTATCACTTCCAACTTGATACTAAAACTGTCCTGCCCTTCACTATTAACTGCTTTACAGGAGTACGTCCCAGCATCTTCTGCACCGACAGACGGGATCATCAGTATTCCATCTCTATCAAGGGCGTCACTGGGTAAATTAGAACCCAGTCTTTCCCAGACAATGGTCGGAGCTGGTAAGCCAGATGCATTGCACCGAACCTCCACGTCTTCTCCTTCGATGACAGTTTTTAAAACAGAATTTAAGAGGATCTCTGGTGGTTCTAGTGGAACAGTTACTAGAAGGAATCACAATAACCTTAGGTCATATTTCGTCAATGGAGAAAAACAAAACATAAATTTACTTCAACTTTTGTATCACTCATTAGTTTTGTTCTAAGCAGAATAAGTGTGAAAAAGTTTCCACACATACGCCACATGCTTAAAATATCATGTCATACAATCCTCTTTGAGAACAAGTTTGGCCTAAAATTAAAGCTTCCTTTAATTAAAGCAAGGACAATAGCAAAAGTTCCTCTAAATTAATGTAAAATGACAGACATCCTGACAGAGCTTAGCATGAAAAAACTGCCGACATCTCGCCACGCCACCAATGGTTTTCCTGGAAATGACGTCTGATGAACGAGTGAAGAAATTTTATACTAATGACGTTTTACTACTCTGACCTGGGTAGTGATTTTGGTTGGCACTCTCCAGATCTGGGTATTGACACATCATTAGTATGAAATTTCTGCGCCCGTTCCTTAGACGTATTCTCCGTTGATGGCGTCTCGAAATGTCAGCTGTTTTGTCAGGCTAGACACAGACACTCCTCGACAGTAAGGAATCTTTAATGTCAACATTGGATGATAAGATTTAAAAAAATGAGGAAACAGTGGTTGCAATTTCGCAAGAAAACCTAAGAAAAACAAATAAAACCTTGTTATTCTATGATAACCAGTTCCGGTTCATGATATGGTGGAAAGCAAAAGAGGAAATGATTTGTTTACGATCGTTTACATTTCGGATGTCTGAGAAGGACATTTAGCGAGTCCCTAATTTCTCAGTACCTTGCTGCCATTACACTGCATAAGGAATATACCTGTTAACTGCACACTTTCCTGAGTCAATCCTACAATATTCTCTGCCTGGCAGGTAAAGTTCCCCTGGTCGTCCGGTCTGACATTTTCAATAACCAACTTCAACACCCCACGATTGGTTTCCCTTATTTGCAGATTAGACCGAGGATGCCCTTCAATAATCCATTGGACTACTGGAGGAGGACTCCCTGCAGCTGTACATTCCAGCGTGACCGAGCTTCCACCTGTCACGGAGACTGGACTGGAAGGGTTTACTATCAACTGGGGTTCACCTGTGTAACAATTAAGCAAACCATACCGTAATTGTGCAGTCACTACCTTCAAGATGCCATAAAATAAGCTTTATCACTGGCACATGAATACAGGTTTCAAAAAGGAAGAAACGAGATACCTTCTTGTTGAAAAGTCTCGCCATTTCAGCACTGGTCAAGATATTCGTCGTTTGTCCCCTTAAAACTCTTAATTATAAGTATTGTTTTAATTTCTCCTTGGGTAATGTAGTCATTGCTTACTCGTGCTGTTGTAAGTGAAGTAAAGATAAGGATCTGGCTAAAAACGACAACTGGCCATTACTTTCCTCATGAAGTTTGTCTTCAGGAATTCATAGTAATAAAAGACGGACAAGAAAAAAAGAAACGAACACACAAGAAGAGTTTTGGATGTTTTGGGTGGTGGTTCTTGAAAAGGGTTGTCAGAAACAAGATAGGTATTTGTAGAGTAGTTGCCCTTGGCTTGTGTTAGATTAAAATTTACCTTGAACAATAAGCAAAGCCGCTGCTTCAGTTGACCCTAGGATATTTGTCGCCTTACAAATATATCTGCCTCCACTGTCACCGGACGCGCGAGAGATCACTAAGACGCCGTTGTCACTGCTGTTCAGCGTTTTATTTTGCTCCCTTTCCCAGACCACCGATGGAGGCGGGTTGCCCGCCCTCACTACGCATCTGAATGTTACACTCTCTCCACCTGTGACTGTCAGCTTTCTCGCTGGCATGATTTCTATTTTTGGCATCACCTTTACTAACAGATGAAAGTAAAAAGAGTGATTTCAGAGTTAACTGTTAGGACAGCTAAGATTAGTTTAAGGTGGGTGATTTTTCAGCCCTGAGGCTGGTAACCATATGCATGATATCAGGGCTTATCGTACCCTCGTACACTTCATGGCTTCTCATCCGAGTGGGGCTAAAAATGAGCCTGTAAAGATTCAGTGGGGGGTAGAGGCGGTCAGGCTGCTGGGCTGATAATTAAGAATAGCACAGCTGCAAATATTAGGTCTTTTTTTGGTATTTCATTCAGAACGGTGGAAAAAGGACATACCGGTATTACCCACCAGAACATCATTCTAGTCAGAAAAACCAGAAACGTTCTCAGGCAAATGACATGCTGAGTTAAGGTAACTTCGTCATTAAAACTGGCACATTGGGCTATGACAAAGTTTTCCACACAACGTTTCCACAAAAATATCAGCATGAAGATATCATAGCGCCTGTATTAATTACCAAGCCACATTAATTTTATTGTCCTCTAGTGGGCAATTCCATCTATTGTCCGATGCCCTTTTGTTATATCCAGCTCTAAGTTGGCAAAGAAACTTACAAACTTCAACAATAACCTGTATTACAACTGGTCTCACTACGAACTTACCTATCAACTGAACAGTTTCCTGGGTCTTCCCTACCATGTTTTGAGCCTGACAGGTGTAATTGCCCTCATCTTCTGGACCCACGGTCTCAATTACCAGTTTTGAGACACCACGGCCACGTTCCCCCAGCTGAAGGCTGGAGTGAGATTTAAGCTGAGTTTCCCATTGAACATCTGGGGTGGGTTTTCCCTCTGCTACACATTCTAGAGAGACAAAGCTGCCAGCTTTAAATGATACGAGACTGGAAGGGCTCACTATTATCTTTGGCTCACCTGTGTATTAAAGAAATGTGCTTTATTGTATTGGCGCAGAAACTTGGGCTATGGCCCATGAAAGCATAAGCCAGAGGTAGCGTTATGCACTGCTTTTCTACATTGTGTTTTTACTTCTGTACAAGAGACACTAGCCTTTGAACGCTTAGCCACAACAATTCATCATAACTGAGACTGAAAGTTGCTACCAAGGGCGCCTTTAATTAGATTAAATGATTAAAAGAATTGATAAGGTTGTTTGCAGTTCCCCGTCTTACAGTAAGATCGTCCTGGAAGAACCGGCTTACCATGACGGGCGGTCATTGGGGGTAAACGTTACGGAAGAAGGCGCGAGACCCTTTAGTGAATCTTGCCGAGCTGGTCGCTAGTTACGGTAAACGCTCTATCTTACAGACAAATAGGGTATTGTATGGTCTATAAATGAATAAATAAACAAATGCATAACTTTATTAATTTTTCATTTGAGAGGTCTAAACTCTAATGACAAAATGGTGTGCTTTCAGAAAGCATTGACGTTATATCTTAAAAATTTCCTATTTAGTGATGTACATTTTATAACGCGTTGCCAGATAATTGTACCTTGAACAATAAGAAAGGCGACTGCCTCAGTGGACCCCAGAATATTCGTCGCTCTACAGATGTACTTTCCTTGACTGACACCACTGGCAGCAGCTATCACCAACACGCCATCACTACTGCTGTTCAGCGGTTTATTTCCTTCTCGTTCCCAGACCACAGTCGGGGTTGGATTACCCGCAATTACCGCACACGTTATATTCACAGTATCTCCACCGCTCACTGTCACGTTTGGTGCTGGCCTGATTTCTATTCTTTGCATATCCTTTACTGAAGATTCAAGATTTTGTTGTTATATAATTATTATTGTTACTATTATTACTCGTAACACTTTTAATTACTTAACTAGTGACAATTGCAGATTTTAGACAGAGTTTGAGGTTAGAGTATCTTTGGTTTGAGAGTGATGGGAAATGCCACACGAAGAAAATTCGATGATGCATTCGATGATACTTAGGTCAACAAACTGATGAGAATTCACTCATCAAAGGACTTCGTGTTTTGGTTGACATTTGGGTAAAGTGGAACCAAAATAATTACCATGGCGTGTGAAGGTATTTTAACGCTGTGTCCTATATTGTTTCTTCGTCCTGGCAAATCACAACAACAAAAAGGACAACTAAGTTAAGTGGAAACGACGTAAACCGACGTAAATTTCTTGCGTTTGCTAAGGCTTTTGAGGATTTAGTGAAGTCGTTTTATTTCCTAAAAGGAAGCTGATTTATCATGATGTGTCTCGTAAGCAGTGGCAATTTAAGGCTCTGAGTGAAGAAATATTAAAACCGAAAACAATCGTCTTTCAGTCCCGGACACGCCTTAGCCATGAGAAGGCGATTCTTAACTTAATTCGGTTGCCGGCGGTCACAGTCTTTTCATGCACTGTTAACCGGCTAGTGATCAGAAGCGTAAAGTTCTAAAAAGCATTTTCAAGAGCTCTTTTGATAACCTGGGCAAAATCAACTTACGCACCTGTTACATGAATTGTTTCCTTGGTTATTCCTACGATGTTCTGGGCCTGACAAGTGTAATTACCCTGGTTCGATGAAGTGATGTTTTTTACAATTAGTTTCAGCACCCCAGGGCCGCTTTCCATCAGTTGTAGATTGGAATGTCCCTGGGGTATCCACTGAACCACCGGAGGGGGATCCCCCACGGCTGCGCATTCTAGTGTGACCGAAGAACCAGCTGTCACGGAGATCGAATTAGAAGGGCTGACCATTATCTTGGGTTCAGCTGTGAAAGAAAAGCACAAGGGGACAGATACAGTGTGAAATTATAAACCAGTTCAGGAATCAAACGTTTTTTTCCACACATCACACAGAACCTAGCTGAAAAATAACAGGGAACGTGGTGCAACACAGGTAGAATAGAGTATCATGAATATCAATGCCAAAACTTTGCTCCTCTCTCCTCTTGGCAACGTGGCACAAACGGACAGCCTAAACCATAGACAAAAAGCAGTATATGTATCCCAATTTTATATTTGGCATCTTACATTCTCTTTGGTTTCTATGAATTTTATTTCTTTTTCACCATTCTTCATGGCCAAAAATTCAAGCTCTGTTACGCGCGTGATAATTTACAAACCAAATACAACGGCTCAAGGCTTATATTTTAAAAGAGTGTATACATTTATTTCTGCCATAGCTTGCGCTTGGGTGGAAACATTCTACAGGTCCTAATGGCGCTTAAATGTTAAGAAAGGAGCTTATTTTTTTTTAATTGAATTGATGGTACCTTATTAAATTCATTAGCGAGAACGGATGTAGCACCTTTATCACTTCAGCCGTAGCTCTTTCATTCGCCACTTGTTAAGTGGAGAATGGATATAAATAACACAATCTGTATGATACCTTGAACAGTAAGAAAGGCAATGGCTTCAGATGTCCCTAGATTATTCGTAGCTCTACAAATGTATTTTCCCTGACTGTCGCCAGTGGCAGCAGAGATCACTAAGGCGCCGTCTTTACTGCTGTTCAGTGGTTTATTCCCTTCTCGTTCCCAGATCAATGACGGTGATGGATTACCAGCTCTCACCACGCATCTTAAAATAACTGATTCTCCTGTGGCAATTGTGAGGTTCGTGGTTGGTGTAATTTCTATTTCTGGTGGAACCTTTACTAAGGAGCAAAGAAAAAGCAAAGGTCAACCTTTGCTTATGGAAAATTACAAGGAGAGTTTTTGAATCACTGCATCACGCATTACTTGATCTCTAGGAATTGCTTTGCATGAAATAGTCTACACAAGCGTCATGAGATCTGCCGAAACAACTTTGGATACATATACAACGCAAATATCAGTTACACTGATACATGTGGTTCAACCTATCCTTGTTTTCTGTTTAAAATTTTTCAATGTCATTCCCACACACTTCGAAAAGGAAAAGCAAACCAGTTTAATTTTAAACCACGGGTGGGATAGTGGGAAGTTTACCGTGCATTGACAAAATTTAAAGCAAAAGACCAAAAGCAAATGTTACCGGAATTACACCACTTTATTTCCTGAGGAAAAGAGAATGAAAATCGAAGCGCACTGCATTATAAAGACGTATAACACACCCGTTTAGCCGTATTAGAATACAGACGTCAAAAAATAATACGGGTATGTGCCGCCCAAAGGGTCGTGATTTTGAAACTTCTGATTTAGAACGGGGTATCCATTTCAGAAGGGTTTTCTAGAACGGGGTATAATATTTCGAACGCACGAAAGCTCCACTTTTGTAAGCAGTCATTTGAAAGTATTCAAGGACAGATTGCTTTTAAAAATACGGTTCAATGCGTTAACAAGCAAACCGTTGTACTCTTGTTGCACCCTACTATGAACGGAGTATAAAAAATTGGCCCATTTCTAGAACGGGGTATCAATTTTAGGGAAATTTTTTCTAGAACAGGGGTGCCAATTTGGAGTCACGGGCGGCACATACCCACCCCAAAAATACCTAAGTGCCCCCCCCCCGGCCGCACACATACCCCCAAAAAACAACAACAATAACAATAACAAATTAAATAACGTTGTGTGGCACCAAGTTATTTTACTTAATTTGTCAACAGAGTGGAAGAATTGGAAACATACTCATACTGACACCCGACATACTCACCTATCAACTGAATCGTTTCCAGAGTTTTCCTACAATGTTTTGAGCATGACAAGTGTAATTTCCCTGATGTTCCGCAGTCACTTTTCTAATAACAAGTTTCAACATTCCGGGACCGTTCACCATCAGTTGAAAATTGGATTGGGAATTTCCCTGAGTTTTCCATTGAACCTCCGGAGGGGATTCCCCACGACTGCGCATTCTAGAGTGACCGACCCCCAGTTGTCACGGAAATGGAGTTGGGCGGGCTCAGCATTATCTTGGGTTCAGCTGTGTGATGAAATAAAAGTAAATTAAAACAAATTCAAAAGGTTTATAAGGGCTAAATGATTGCACACATCTTCCTTAATGTTAATGCAGGATCTGATTTTCTGCGGCTAGACAAACATTAGGTAACTCAACAACATTATTTTTCGCCACAAACAGGTTATGCAAAATGGCGGGGAAGTCGGAAAACAAGACATATATAGAAAGTAAGGAAAACATGCTCGCAGGAATTGAACACCACCGGGTTATAATCTGGGTAATCCTTGTGGGTATTTGAATAACGGGGAAATTTCTTGCTGCCTTTGCTCCCCACCCCCTTTCCTAAGACGTCTAGGGTTACTTTTAGGGCCTGATTACATGGAGGTGGAAGACCGCAGGTAGGTGAGGTAACCCGCTTAGGTGGGGTAAACCGCCTGTCCATATAATCTCATTTTAATTTGATCACGTTTACATCAGGCTATTTCACCTATCTAGGGTCCCCCACCTCTATGTAAACAGGCCCTTGATAACCTTATTGAGCGATACCTTTAGGCGACACACTAACATGTCTTTTGAGGAACATTTAAGCAGGAAGGAGGATTTAGTAAGACTTATTTTATAAGCGACGAACCCTTGAAAGATAGTCGCTACTGAACAGGTTGCAGCAAATTCCATAAATGACAGAACCGACAGGGAGGCCGGTATCTTACAGTGTAGCTTTCAATAAGAGCTTTTCTCACTGTAACATTAAATTCCGACCCTGTTCGACATTAGAGTTCCAGAAGCTCGGTGGTTAGAGCGTCCGAACTAGAACTCGGAGGGTCGTGAGTTCGATTCTCACCTGGAGCTCGGAAAATTGTTCTGAGCTTTCTGGTGTTTGAATTCTCCTTCTTCTTTAAGTAACAGTCCAGATAAGAACGATAGCAACAATGGCAACGAACATGTTGGAATGCAAGAAAGGTGCTAACTTTTCTATTGTCGGTACTTACTTCTGATTGGCTTAAACAGCAAAAGTTAACAAAACTTCATAAAGCGGTACATATATTCATCCTTACTTTCAACCATCTTCCATATAACAAAATCTGGTCTCAGTTTGAATAACAAAGAAATCCTATGTGGGAAACATGTAAAATTGTAAACTTTTCTTGGCTATTGTTTTCAACTCTTGTGACTGGTCAAAATCTTTTAACACAAAAAACACCATTTCAAAGTGGAGTGTAAGTGCATTTTATTGCGTAAACGACCTTCATGTAGGTTTATGCATTCTCTGTGTAAAATTGAGAACATTGCTGTGTGGGGAAAGCACCGTTGCCGCATAACAAAAGAAATTGCTATCCACCTTACCCGGATCATTACTTAATTACCTTGTACAGTAAGCAAGGCCACGGCCTCAGTTGACCCAATGATATTCGACGCCTTGCAGATATACATTCCTTCATTGTCAAAAGTTACAGGGGAGATCACCAATATGCCGTCGCTACTGCTGTTAAGCGGTTGCTTTGTGTCTCTTTCCCAGACTACAGCTGGAGGTGGATGACCCGCTTTGACCACGCACCTCAAAACCACTGCCTCTCCTGTTATAGCTGTGAGGTTGGGTGCAGGCATAATTTCTATCTCTGGTGGAACCTTCGCTGGGAGTCAAAGTGAGAGCAAGGCTTTATAGATGGGCTTAAAATATCTCTAATGTTATGGTAAAGACCTTTTGCATTGCCCAACCGAACATTTGGAGTCCATCGCTAAAGAGAGTACGAGGGGAGTACGCCACAAACTTGCACAGGAGGAACTTCCACTTATAGGCCATTATAGGAAGTAGCCCTCCCTCCCTCCCTTCCCCGTGAACAACTGAGTGGTGCAAAAAGCAAGTTGGGTCGGTAAGTGTCCTTTTTGCATCACGAAAAAGCCGAATAAAAAAAATCCAGAGCCAAGTTTTAAATCTGTGCTGCAGGAAATCACAATCAAAACTCAAAACACAGTTTGCCCTTTCGCCCCGACATAGCACGGGCAAGTTTTGGCGTGAAAGTCGATGAAGTGGCACAAAATTTCCAACCTCGTTACGGCTTCAACTCAAACACGATTAGTCAATTCTGATGAAAACAAAACAGAAAAGCGGCTTATGGCACCATCCAAAAACTGCTCAGTAGCTTCCAACTCCATTTGAAAGGTCACAATACAGGACAAGCCTTGAGGTTTCAATCTAGGAAAGGGATCTACCAAGGACAACTGTGAAATTGAGTATTTAAAAACCTTAGACGCTCAAAAAATTTCAACACTGATTTTATGATTATCTTTTTTTAATGAGGTAAAGCCGTTAAGGCAACAAACCAACTACCAACGGTGAATCTAAAGCCTGCCACCGTAAGCAACGTGTTAAGGTATCTACACCTGAATGCAAAAGATAGGGGGTTTCACTTGATTTTTAGAGAGTTTATTTTTTAATTCTCTTTGTGCATGCATTTATAGTGTGGTTCTGATTTCCTTGTAAAAAATCCCACCATTTGCGACTTTCACCTTTCCCATAATACAGTAGGTTTTCTCACAAAAGAAAGCGCATGGGTATTGCGTCAATTTCTCAATAAGGGACGATTGACAGTCTCAATACTTATGCAAACATTTGTGGGAAAGAAAACCGCATTTTGGGGAATGGAAAGTTGCAAATAAGCTAACTCCAGTACATCGTGCTCAAGTAGTCACGCATATAAGACACTCATGCCAAGTCACGTGTCGGTCCGCCACCGGTATTAACTTCCCTTTCATTTGGATATGATTCTTTTTAGTTACGGGCACCGTGATACTCAGTTCGGTCGACCGATGATGATGATCTCTTACATGCGCCTTTGGTGGAGAGAATGAATGCTAAGTTGGAAAGTATCTCGTTAAGT